TGTGGGATGCCATGCCGGTGAAGGGTTTGGTGTCAGAACTGGTTAAACAATAAGATAAAAGGTGGAAGAGGGGAACCATGCCTGACCCTCGCCTCTTAGGACTCAGCCTCGGGTCGCTGCTGCTACTAACCGGGAGGGGGGTCTCCTCTTGGCGAAATGAGAGGAGGTCAGGCATCTCTGCCAAGCTGCCCTTACAAAGATCGTCTACCTTTGGCAGATACGTCACTAGGAATTCATAATCTGAAATTCCATGAGGGTGAATGAGAGACTTTTCCAGTCGACTAAGAGTTACTCTACACAGATGTTGAGTCAAGCCCGGCTCATCCGCTCCTCTGACGCACGGCGACCCTCCAGGACAGAGTAGAACTGCCCCCGTGGGCTTCTGAGACTGTAACTCTGGATGGAAGCAGACAGTGTTATGTTGAGCAGCTGGTAGGTCTGAACCACCGGCCTTTCAATTAGCAGGCGCGCCCTTAGCCAAGCACTGAATCCTGGGGCTCTTTGTAAAGGAGAGATCTTGTGGTGCTGTGGGCTAGTCAAGGAGGTGCTGCTAACCACAGGTTCAGTGACTCAAACCTCGGCTGCCCCTCGGGAAAGAGACTTGGCTGTCTGCTTCAGGAAAGATGGACAGTCTGGGCAGAAGGACGGTTCTCCCCTGTCCTAGAGGGTCGCTGTGAGTTGAGATCTATGGGATGTTGTGAGCGAGCACTCCAGGGAGGCGTAAACTGAGTTCCAGAGGAAGGAGAGGGTTGGGGGACATCGTGGAGAATCATTCAGGAGCCAACTGTCGAAATAAATGTTAGAAAAAAAAGACTGCAACCAATTCCTAAGAAAACCAACCTAACTCACTCCCTGCCACCTCATGGAGACCCTCCCCTCTGGAGCGTAGCGGGAGAAGGTATTGTGGGCTTTCCAGCCCGTGGGGAGAGGGGGTGCTGAGTGTCCTAGAGCTATAGAGGTGTGTTATGGAGTAGGGTGCCCCCGGGCACTTAGTGGTGGACTTAAAGACCTTTATACTGCTTGGCTGAGCGGAACAGAGGCCTCAGAGGTCACTAGGGACCAAGGGTCAGAGAGAGGCCAGCTTGTGGACACAACTGTGAAGAGGCTGTTCTGACCAAAGAACTGTATCCTCAGTCATTCTTGATCCTGACTTGTAAACTTGTGAACCTTAATATACCTCATAATGGTGCGTATTGTCTGTGATGGTCCCTGATAATGGCAATGAAATGTGAGACTTTGCAGAGGAGCTAAATTGGCTGTTGTGTTAGACAGGGTTCTCTAGAGAGATAAAACCAAATTGCTGATCATTTAATATATTTATTTATAAAGATAATTAGATATATAATACAAGAAATGAACTGTTAAATTTTATACAGCTAGATATATAATACAAGAAATGAACAGTTAAATTATAAAGCAGTACAAATGGCTCAGTGCAACTCATTCCTGTGAGAGAGAGTTGTGAGACACTAGCAGTCCTTCAAGTCTAGTCTGCTTCCAGGTCTTCCTCTATTTGTAGAGAGAGCTAGACTATGTCAGACAGCTGCCAATCACAAGGCAGGTCATCAACTGTCAGCCAGGTCACCAACCGCCAGTCCCCAGCTCCAGAGATGTCTTAAAGGGACCTCAACTTACAGCGACACAGTCCACAGGCTAGGCGTCCCACAGGTAGTGTAGCCTTTACATT